ACACACACACACACACACACACACGGCAGAACTGGCTAGCACGTACACACACACATACACACACACACACACACACGGCAGAACTGGCTAGCACGTACACACACACACACACACACTAGCACGTACACACACACACACACACACACACACTAGCCGGTGGCCATGCAATCTGGTGCTGCCACTCTGGAAAAGCCTGGCAGCTTCTTAAAAAGCTAAATATTCAACTAACACAGGACTCAGCAATTTTATTCCTGGGCAGTTATCCCGAAAAAGTAAAGACGTATGTTCATGCAAAAACCTGTACACGAGTGTTCTTAGCAGCTTTATTTGTAATACCCAAAACCCAGATGGCCTCCAACAGATGAACAGTCAAACAAGCTGTGGCAGAGACATAAAGAACACTACTCAGCAATGAAAAGGAACCAACGTGAGAGACACAACTTGAGAGATCCTCAGAAAATATGTCAACCAGAAAAAGCTGGTCCCAAAACCACACACAGCCCCTGTATGACGCCAGTTGATACAGAGACAGGGAACAAATGGATGGTGGCCAGGACTTGAGGCCAGGGGTTGAGGGTCTTCGTGATGCACAAAGTTCTGCATCTTGTCTATGAGTGTCTGTGTCCTGCTGCAGAGAATGGATTATAGCTGTACAAGGTGTAAACTTGGGGAAAACTGGTAACAAGTACACTAGATCTATTCTCCATGATTGTAATTGCTGAATATGCAAACCTTAATGAAAGAAAAGAAGGGAAAGAAGGTAGGGTGAGCTCCATCCCCCCAGGGACAGGCTCAACCTGTTGCTTCCTTTCTGCTTCACCCTCTGCACCCAGAGGTGATAAGTGAACACAAAAGGATTACAGTGGTCCACACCTGAATCCCAGCCACTCAAAAGGCTGAGATCTGAAGATCATGATTCAAAACCAACCTGGGCAGAAAAGTCCCTGAGACTCTTATCTCCAGTTAACTTGCAAAAAGCCAGACAGTGGAGCCGTGGCTTAAGTGGTAGAGCACCAGTCTTGAGTATAAAAGGCCAAGTAAGAGTGTGAGGCCCTGAGTTCAAACCCAGTACCAGTACCAAAACAAAGAAAGAAAGAAAGAAAAAGGACTATTCACACTCCTAAGACAATCCTGACCAGACACCTGATCTGATAGGCAAAGTGGTACAACAATAAATTTTAGCTCTCCATAATGTCTCTGAAATATAATCAGGTTTATAGATATAAATTATGTACTAATCTTTTTCCCTCTAGCTCTAGTGAATAGCAAGGCTGACTCAGATAACAAAGGAGGTCTCTCTTGCACACCTTCACTTACAAACTTCTGCGGTCATAATACTTAAGAAATCAACTTTTCTTTTTCTGACAGCCTAGACATCAACTTTTGAAGGAAAAGATTTCCCCAGAAACCATAATGATGAAATCTAAACAGAAAATCACTTGTCACTTCATTTCCAATCTTTGCCCTTCGTTTGATGAAAAATTAATAGAAGTGAAGGAGTGACTGGCATGCCTCAAACACGTGTCTGCCCCCCTTGACTCCACGAATGCCTGAAGTCTGCAGTAAACAGGCTCAGCTCCCCTACCAGATGGGGACAGGACTAAAAAGTGGTAGTCAATTTGCTCAGGGGTCACTGCACAGGGCGTAAGAGTCAGGAATCAAAGGTGTGAAGTGCCAAGGCCCCATCCCATTAAAGGCGAGAAGGCAAGACACGGCTCACGGTGTTCCACCAACCTGGCGACAGAACGGTTCACTTCCTGTACGTCCCTGTGCATTGGTTCTCACAGCTACCGCACCAGGCCCCCTGCCCCAAGTCTCAACAGCTTAAGCACACACAGATGCAGTATGTCCACTTCCGAGGCCCAATGCCCAGGGGCTTAATTCTAGGTGCTGGCTCTGATCAGGCGGTTCTGGGAGAAATCTGTCTCCAAGCTAGAACAGAGGTCCTGTTCCTTGGCTAGCTGTTGGCCACAGGCTGCCCTTAGCTCCCTTCACAAGTGAACCTCTAATCTCAGAATCAACAATTGCCCACTGAATCCTCCAGGTTTGGGATGTGATTTCCTTTCTGCAGCACCCCTCTTCCCCACAGGAAGGATACAGGACCATTTCCCCTTCCCAAGCTCTAATCACATCCACAAAGCTCCTTTGCATATAACTAGCACATCCTATTCCCAGGGCGCAGGGATTAGGCTGGGGGTGTCCTGGGGTCCTTCCTCTACCTTGCACACAGCCTCACCTCTTCATCCAGCCTTCAAAACAGAATCCAGATGCACTTCCTCTTCCTGATTCCCAGGAGGTGACCCTGCCCAGCCATGGGGGTGGGAGGGAGGAGGGGGGGGGTTGACAGAAAAGAATCTATGGCCCCTCCTCCAGGGACTGTGAAGCCATGTGCACGCCAGTGCAAATAAGCCAGAGCCCTAAATACAGCCCCCCACGAAACCAAGGAAGGGGAAGGAGCCATGGGGCAAATGTCACCGGCGGTGCCCAGTGCAGAGAACCTCAGGGAACCCACACTTCCTACCTCAACACAACAGTCCACAAATCAGCTGTTTACCCTTTCTCCATTCCTTTTATAAAATAACTGAAGCGTCTCAATTTACAAACAATGCTTCTAGCAGATTCCAAAGTACTCTCAAACAATGAGCTATGATTCATGTTTCCCAGTGAGAAGGAGTTTTACCATTTCCTTTCCCCTCGTGATCCATTCATGGGCCAAGCGGCGAGTGGAAGCATGGCCCACCCACCAGAGCCCAGAGAAACACTGCTCTGTTGTTAGGCTCCCCAAAAAACTGTTGAGGTTGAGAAGAAGGATCTGCAGTAATTTTCCCTTCATTGGAAATAGCCAGTTAGCTACTGTACCCTTCCCTGCATCATTCACGGCCACACCCGAACCCCTCACCTGCCCCCGGAACAAACTCCCAGCACAGCACAGGCCCCTGGGATGACTCCACCGGTCAGCTACCCTCCCACTCGCCTGCTGAAGTGTCCAGCCTCCCCACCACCCTCTCAGATAGAGGATTTAGTCTCTAAAGGGCCTCCTGAAACTCCTACTTTCACCCAGCTCAGCTATCATCTCCCCATCAGGTAAATGGAAATAAAACCCACCCCCTGCTCCACTCCACAGAGAATCAGTTACACCTTGATATTCTTCCCTGGTAAAGTCATCCCTAGCGCCTTTCTCCTCCGGGAACTTTCCAACACTGAGTTCTGAACATAATATCCCAAAATATTAGCAAGAGGTGTGAGGTTAGAATTCCTAAACAGGAATGCTGGTCAAGCTCTCTGGAAGAGAGCTATGAGTGACAACGGCAAGATTATTGGCATATTCTGGCCCAGGACTAGCACCCACCTACCCGCTGCCTCTTTGAGAAGCCTCTGCTCACCACAACTGGCAATTTCCAGGAGCCCATGCGGGCCGTAATTGGCAATGCTCCCTCTGGTCTTCATCACGTGGACAGGGCACATTTCAAACATGGTGCCTGCCAACACCATCAAGGCCACCTGGATGAGTGCCTCCTTGAAGATGTGGGAGGAAGCAGGGCTCTGGTGCTCACACCTTTAACCCTAGCTACTCACACCTGTAATCCCAGCTACTCAGGAGAGGCTGAGATCTGAACATCTCCATTCAAATCCAACCTGGGCAGGCAAATCTGGGGGATCCTGATCCTCCAGAAACCACCACAAAGCTAGAAACCGGGACGTGACTCCAGTGACAGGGGCCAGCCTTGAGCAGAAAGCTAAAGGGGCAGTGCACTGTTCCTGAGCCCTGAGCGCAAGACCTGGTGACAGCATACACACACACATACCCATGTGTGTGCACTCACACACACAGGGTGGAGGCTCAAAGAGAAGCCCTCCCTCCCTCCTCCACTCCAAGGACCTGGCAGCTCACTAAAGCATGGACAAGCCTCCCTGCCCTAACCCTGCAACACGGAAGTGGCCACAGTCACAGACGGGATGGGGGGGGGGGGGGTCTCCTGGCGCCCGGCCTCTGGGGCTGGGCTTGCTCACTCCTCCGGGGCTGGGCACGTGGGGACGATGCAGCTTTGCCTCCAGGCCTTCCCCCCTGCCTCCTGCACTGCGACCCCAGAGCCTCTGGGCTGGAAACTCCCCCCGAGCCTGCCTCTCAGAGGCACACCTGGGAACTCAGGCGGGAGGTCGGGGGACACACACACACTCCCTGTTCACAGAACTTGGCTCTGCCATGCCCCTCCGGGGATGTCGGTGCCAGAGCGGCGGGAAGCCCAGCCCCGGTGCTCCCGGAGCAGGACGGCCCCTCGGCCTGCTCCCCGCCTTAAACACCGAACCCGCTGGCTGTCCACGCGGCGGGGTCCCGGGCCCTCCGGGCCTGCTGGGCACGAGGCCGGGACTTGAGGCGGACCTGCGGCAGGGCGGACACGAGGCCCCGGCCGGGCTGCAGGTAAGGCGGCGCCCGGGGAGCGGCACCTGGGGCCTGGGCGAGGCGGACGGAAGGTGAGGGCTCCTGGGACGGGCTGCAAAGCCAGGGGGTCGCGAGCCGACCGGGCCGGGCGGACGGGACGAGGCAGGTCGGGGAGGAGCCCGCAGGCCTC